TTAATTGTTTTTAATGTAACCGTAACAGAGAAGCTGCAAAGACAATATACTGAGCAACACAGCAGTTCATTGATCAGTAATGTATGTTGAAATGTTGTTTCAGTTAGCAGTCCTACCACAAACCGCCAACAATAAGATGAGCTGGTCAGAAGCCACAGCCTATGCAGCCACAGAAGCCAGACAGGAATACAAATGTGGGTTTTTAAAATAAGCTAAAGCAATAAAATTATTATTTGTCTATGAAAGCCACAGGGATAGTTTCTGATCTCAATTTCACCACTGCAAATACATAGCTACTTCACACATACACCTGCATAACTGAAATGAGAATCTTGCCCAACAATAGTAAATTTTGAGTGAGCACATAATACCTATGGTTAATATGTGAATATTCAAAATAATATCAATTCTATCTCATTCATTAACCTCTTAGTAGTTACTGCTGTGCTTAAACTAACAAACTAGATACACGAATAAGCACACAAGTACAGTATATATGGAGAATGTATTTGATTGATTACAGTGTTTATCAACTTAAACAATCAGAAGCTAATTAACAATGCATTTCATGACTAGGTAATAATTTTTCTTCCTGGAGAAAATCAGATTGAAAAAGTCAACACAAGCTTAAACATAATTATCTTCTGTCCACCACTGGTGAAGTAAATCCAATTCGGTAACTAGCTGAAAGGGCAGTTTGTATTTACTTCATACTCACTTCTCAAGGATGAAACATATTACAACACAAAATGTACTATGAATATGATATGATGGTCTAGTAAAGTACACATGGATCCCAGCAGCAGAGAAAGCAACTTAAATAAAACTCAAAAAGGTCTGGTAATAGTCCCACAACCAACCAGTGACTGACCGAATGTGGTAACCTAGTCCATGAGGGTGGATCTCTGCACTCGCGTAGGCGCCAGCTAACAAGGGGCTTACACCATGTATAAAAGTTTCTGTAACACGCAAAACTTAAAGCTTTAATAAGTAAAACTCAGACTTTTCTATTAACTGAAATTTTATCTCTTGGAAATAAAAATTCTGCTCAAACTTTATATTCATTTTCACACACACACACGAGTTTTTTCATCTATACCTCTTATAGTGCTTTACAAAGCTGGGTAAATAGCACTGTCTCAATTTTCAGATGGAGAAACCGAGGCAGGAACACAAGCAGTCGCTGGCAGAGGTAGGAATAAAATCCAGGTCTCCCGACTAGCAGTACAATGCCCCATGAACTGAACAATGCTAGCTCCCCTCTGCCTTCCTACTCCTCCACTTATCATGAGTATTTAAAATTGATTTTTTCCTCCACAATAATTAAGTCATTTTACTGGTTCTGCCTAACACATCAAGAACAATCAAAAGACACCTATTTGTTTTCACCTCTCTCAATTACCTACTTTAAACATTTTAAATGTTAATAGTACAAATGAATAATTTCAACCAAGTAGAGCTCTGGGTTAGCATATAGTTACTGATGCAGAGTTCAAGTTCTTACTTAGGTCATGTGGGGAAATATGAATTTGGTGGAATTCATCCCAGCCCCCACCCCATTCAAGTCCATAATAAAGTTACCAAATAAGCAATAACACATTATGACTGCCTCAGCTCACTCAAGTCCCACGACTGGAATAGAAGGGAGTACTAAGAGTCAGGATTGAGGTAGAGGGGTACAGCTGTGTGAGGAAGCTTATAAAGCACATGTCCACATTATCCCTGGCTGATGCCACACGGGTATAGGCCCACATGAACCACTCAAGTTTTTAAAAGAAAATCCCCTCAGGTTTTTAAAAGAAAAATTTACTAATGTCTCTTTTAACCTTCCACCATTTTATACCTCTCCATTACTCAGCAGTGTGCTGGCAGACCTTGAATCATCTTAAATGTCTTGTAACTAACAACCGAGAGCAATAACTCTTACAAACCTCACGAACAGTGGAGATGGAAAGGAACTATTACACACGATGTGCTGCCAATATTTTAGCAGGCATCTGCAATTAAAATAGTCCCCCCATTCACAATGAAACCAGCAACCTCGGGGCACTTGTTTGATGAGGATTGGAGTCTATTCATATTTTTCTCCTTTAAACAAACTCTCTCTCATGACCATAAGCAAGAAGGGAGCACCACCTACCAAACACATATTTTTGGAAATATTATACCTTGGTTCCTGAAAGATACGCTGAATATACTGAAAGCATAACACAGTGTCCAACTTGCATATTTTGAAATGGAGAGGAAAGTCACGGGGATCCTCTCCCATGATACGTTTTGACATTTGGTGCAATCAAATGGCAAAATATTTGCTTCTCAAATATGTCTGTGCTATATGAGCACCAGGGATAACAGCCAATGAAGGACTGTTCCCTATTAGTGCTTTATCCAAGCAAAGACATAAGACGTCCCAAGCAAAGAGATTCCACCACTTTCCTTGGGAGTCTATTCCACAACCTAACTGCTGTCACAGTCAGGTTGTTTTTTTCCCGGATGTTCAAGGACAATTGTATTTATGCCTACTTCCCATCACAGGAAACCTCAAATCTAAAATCCAGGAAGGACAGTTACAGTTTATGATCCATTTTCAGGTGACATATTATACTTCAATGTCTTGTTAACAACATGCATAAAGGTAAAGGTTAGTGGCCATTCGGATTAAGATAGGTGCCCACGTGACAACTGTGCAGATCATTCTCAAATTTCACTGGCAACTTCAAACACTTGACCAGCAACTTTATTTTGAGCACACAGTTTTCATATCAAGAGAGCATGCTGCAATATTGAACTGCAAGTTAATTCAGTTAAACTAATTTGCTTCTGTCAATGCAGCAATATTCCAGTACATTATGTACACCGCATTATTGTTTTAATTATGTAATTGCCTCCAAACACTAGGTCTTCTACAATGCATACTGCAAGACTGTCACTCTATTTTTCTCCTTTTAGCTTCCCAATCATTAAATACCCTCAAAGGAATAATTTTTGATTCTTCCAGATGGTTACAATATGTTCAAACTTTATAAATCCATCAAACAGACAAGAGTAGATTGTGATATAGCATAAAATGGCCTTGGAAAACGGTCATGAAAATTTAGCAGCCCAGGCTCAAAATCAACTTGCTTACTATAATGAGTACAATAATAATAATAAAAAAAAGTGTATGACATATTACTCAAAATATTTGACATATTATTAGTCAAAATAAATTGCCTAGGGGGAGCAAGCACATATTTGCAAAACTGGAATAAAAAGACATCTGTGTGGAAGGAAATAAATTGTATGATCCTAAATAAGCATGTTAGGAGGTCTGTGTCTATCCTAAGAAAATGGATGCATTTATCCCATGCTCAATCCTCAAGTCCACTACCATGATTTGAACATTTTGAACAGGCATTGTTACAACAGCCTTGGAAGCCCAAGCTCAGGAGCCTGTATCAGTGAAAGAAGAATGTTCTTACCACACTGGAAAATACAATTTATTTTTAACTTTCTTCTATAAAAATTCAACAGTTATATAACTTAAGAGAACTTTCTACTTGCCATTTCCTTCATTCCACTTAATAGCACTCCCAGCATACACAATATTAGCCATTACAGTAAACTGGGCTCATATCCCCAGCTAAGGCCTCCTGAGTCTCTGTCCAAAGTGCTGTTTTGTTGCACTGGCTCAGATGGAAAGGAGGGGGTAAGAAATGGGGAAGGAAGAAAAATTATTGTAGTCTATAAGTATCAGCACATATGTTCAGTTTGATGCAATAGAGCAGGGCTCCAGGCAAAAGCGGAAGGAGACAGGACCTTAAGTCTGGGTAAGCGCCAAAGCCAGGGAAAGAATCAGAACACGCTGACAGCCTTGAAAATGCTCCGTAGAGGTCTCAACAGCAATTAAACTCCCAATTTCCTTTATGCTCAGACAGAAGCAATTGCCCAACTCAACCCAGCACCTTCAATGACTGAGCCCAAAATTTCTATTTTTTTCCTCAAATACTAAAGTCAGTAGAAGTGCTTCAAATTCAATATGAAAGCTAACTAAGGAATGCCTACTGATTTAACACACACTCTCTCAAAAATTTGTGCGTGTGAACAGTGAGATGCCCATTTAGTGTAGTTCCATATCGTGTGTTTTTCATAGCACAGATCTTGACTATAAAATGCCCTAATAATCCAAGAAAGTTTGTGGATGTTGAATGCAGCTGAAAAGAACTAAAAAAACTCTCAGAAGAAACCAATTTAAAAATATCACAAAGGACACTTTAAACAATAAAAAAAGGAAGAGCTATGTAGAAACGCATCATAGAAGCTGTATGTTAGCCAAAGAGTACAATGCTGTCTTTCCAATGTTTAAAAAGCATTATCATTAAACGCATGCACTTTGAAATCCCAATTATCCCTTTCTTAACAAATAATCTCCTGGGGTTTAAAATTTTATTGCATCTAGAGATGCTGCTCCTCCGCTTACTGAAAAAAGAAAAGGAAGACTTGTGGCACCTTGGAGACTAACCAATTTATTTGAGCATGAGCTTTCCTGAGTTGCATCCGATGAAGTGAGCTGTAGCTCACGAAAGCTTATGCTCAAATAAATTGGTTAGTCTCTAAGGGGTGCCACAAGTCCTCCTTTTCTTTTTGCGGATACAGACTAACACGGCTGCTCCTCTGAAATCTGCCTACTGAGGAGCCCGCGATGGGGACTAGACAGAAAGACTCAAAAGCAAGAGCCAGGAGTTGAAGATAAATACAAAACAAACTTTGTTTTTGTTTTTTTTTTACAAACAGAAAAGAGTATACAATGCACTAGCTGTGCCTGAACGTTCAGATTTATTTATAAATAACAAAAGAAATATTGACATTACCCAGAGTCAACAGGGCAAACACTTGGGGAACACACAAAAACAAGCTAGAATTCAATGAAAGCTTATCACTGAGTCACGGCAAAGAGCACCGATTCACTGCAGGAGAATCGCGCGGAAGCCCTCGTAAAAAGGGAAGTCGCTTTTTCTTACCTCCAAAGCATTAAATTCTAGCCCGAGAATGGCAGATTGCAGCTTGCCAGGGCAGGGACTTTCCTTCCACTCCCGCTCGCTGCACACGAATGAGCCAGGCAGAGGCCAACAAAAATTCAGCGACTCCTGCCCCTTTCCTCACGGCAACCGGCGCTGCGCCTCACAGGCGGGCTCTGCCGGCGCGACCCTGGAACAAGGCAGGATTTCTAGCCCCGCCTGACCTGAAGCGGGGCGACAGCGCCGGGACTCCTACCCCGGGCACCCAGCAGCGGGAGCGGCCCGCGGCCCCTTTCAGGGCTCCCAGGCGCGGGGGGCGCCAAGCCGGGCTGCGCGCGGGCCCCGCGCCCCAGCTCCCGACCGGCGCCTCGCGCAGGCTGCCCGGGAGACACCCCCTCCCGCCGCCGCCGCCGCCGCCCCTGCCCGCTTACCTCGCCCCGCCGCGGCGCCCGGGCCGCGCTCCGCCCGCCTAGCGGCCGGGCCTGGCCGGGCCCCCGGCGCGCCGCATCCTGCCGCCCCGGCCAGGCGGGCTCCGCGCGGGCTGGACCCCTGAGGCGTTGGGGGGGGGGGGCGGTGAGCGAGCTGGGCCGGCGGCTCCGCGCGCTGCCTGGGGGACCGTCCGGGCGGCGAACGGCCGCGCCAGGGCAGGAGGGGGGGGCGCCCACGCGCACGTCGGGCCGGGAGCCCCGCCCCGCCCTCGCCCTCGCGGGAGGTGCGGAGCCGGGCTGGGGGGCCGGGCACTGGGGAGATGGGGGATCTCTGTGGGAGAGGGAGGGGGCTGGGCACTGGGGGGCTGCGGGGCTGTATGGGAGGAGCCGGGCACTATGGGGGGGGGCAGTTGTGTGGGGACTGTAGGGGGAGCTGGGCACTGGGAAGGTGGGGGGCTGTGTGGGAGGGTGTGGGGGGGGCTGTATGGGCACTGGGAGGGGGCTGGGCACTAGGGTGTGGGGGACTGTATGGGAGGAGCTGGGCACTATGGGGGAGTAGTTGTGTGGGGGCTGTATGGGGAGCTGGGCACTGGGACGGTGGGGGGCTGTGTGGGAGGAGCTGGGCACTAGGGTGTTGGGGGGCTGTGTGGGAGGAGTTGGGCACTATGGGGGGAGTTGTGTGGGGGCTGTATGGGGAGCTGGGCACTGGGACGGTGGGGGGCTGTGTGGGAGGAGCTGGGCACTAGGGTGTTGGGGGGCTGTGTGGGAGGAGCTGGGCACTATGGGAGGTAGTTGTGTGGGGGCTGTATGTGGAGCTGAGCACTGGGAAGGTGGGAGGCTGTGTGAGAGGGGCTGGGCACTAGGGTGTTGGGGGTCTGTGTGGGCACTGGGGTGATGGGGGCTGTATGGGAGGAGCTGGGCACTATGGGGGGCAGTTGTGTGGGGGCTGTATGTGGAGCTGGGCACTGGGAAGGTGGGGGGCTGTGTGGGATGAGCTGGGCTCTATGGGGAGTAGTTGTGTGGGGGCTGTATGGGGAGCGGGCACTGGGAAGGTGGGGGGTTGTGTGGGAGGGGCTGGGCACTAGGTGTTGGGGGGCTGTATGGGCACTGGGGTGATGGGGGCTGTGTGGGAGAAGCTGGGCACTATGGGGTGAGAGTTGCTGGGGGCTGTATGGTGAGCTGGGCACTGGGAGTGGGAGGCTGTATGGGCACTGGGAGGGGGCTGGGCACTGTGGTGTTGGGGGGCTCTATGGGAGGAGCCGGGCACTATGGGGGGGGAGTTGTGGAGGGGGCTGTAGGGGGAGCTGGGCACTGGGAATGTGGGGGGCTGTATGGGCTCTGGGAGGGGGTTGGGCACTGGGGTGTTGGGGGTGTGTATGGGACGGGCTGGGCACTGGGGGGGGTATATGGGAGGGACTGTTTGTTTTTGTGAGGCTTGGGCTGGGCAACAGGGTGTGGTTTGGGGGTGGAGGTGCTGGGGGTCAGCCCCAGGGTTTGAGTGAGGGTGGGAGTGGACAACAATGGGCGTTTTTGTGCCTGAGAGTGCTGCTAAGCTGGGCCACTAAGATGTGTAAAGAGAATACCGCCTATCATGATGACCAAAGTTGTCTAATTGTTTCCCGCATGTGTTTATATCCATCTTGTCTCATACTTAAAGTGTAAGCCTCTTGGGACAGGGACTGTCTTTTTGATCTCTCTTTGTACAGCACCTAGTACTACAGTAATACACATTATAAACTGGTTCCTGTTATTGGTGTATGAGTGCCTGGGCTGCTGCTGTTTTGAATACACAAGAGATGATCTCCCTTAGTTCATGAGGAAGAGAAATAAGACAAGTTTGCAAAAGAGTTTGACACACTGATTACTGAGCACTTTGGAAACTCTTACCCCTTTGTGGCTGCTAAATACCTAAAAATCTGGCACTATGGGATGTTTGGGGATTTGCTTGTTTTTGTTTGTTTTGCTGTCAGAGATGGGGTGTACTGTTCCCCCTATCACAAAGGGGCTGATTCAGATCTTACAACTGGTGTAAATCCATAAAATGTAAGAAGTTACACCAGTATAAAACTTGTATAAATGACATCAGAAAATAGGTCCATCATTTGGCAGTTGTTTTCTCTGAATTATGAGCCATTAATCCCTAGTTTTACTACTTGCACCAGAGTTACAATGAAACCTTGAAGTAAAATGCCTTCCACCTAGTTATCGAAGAAATGTAGCCATAAACCCCAGGGTCAGTCTAGTCATAAAGGTCAGCCTGATTTAATATTAAACAAATGCATTAATTCCTCCTCTCTGCCCCAGATATCTTCCAGCTCAATGCAAAATTAATGGGAGGCAAGTATTTTATTAAATAAAAATTCCTGGAGTGCTGCAGTAAAGATTTACGTTCACAAGTCTTGCCACCTCTTCATTTGGTACTGATCTTTAAGCGTTAGGGGCCAGATTTTTTAAAGGTATTTAGGTGCCTTGTGGGGTTTTTGTAGGTGCTTTTGGAAATTCTTCTAGGCACTTACATACCTTTAAAATTCTGGTCCTTGGTACATATTTACTGCCGAAGAGCACTATTGCAGACAAGTCCTTGTATGGTTTCAGAGTAACAGCTATGTTAGTCTGTATTCGCAAAAAGAAAAGGAGTACTTGTGGCACCTTAGAGACTAACCAATTTATTTGAGCATGAGCTTTCGTGAGCTACAGCTCACTTCATCGGATGCATACCGTGGAAACTGCAGCAGACTTTATATATACACAGAGAATATGAAACAATACCTCCTCCCACTCCACTGTCCTGCTGGTAATAGCTTATCTAAAGTGATCATCAAGTTGGGCCATTTCCAGCACAAATCCAGGTTTTCTCACCCTCCACCCCCCCACACAAATTCACTCTCCTGCTGGTGATAGCCCATCCAAAGTGACATAGCACTCATCTCTAGCACTGACCCAAAAGCATGGGCCTATTGTGAATAGTGCACACAGTACCTTGCACTGGACAGTCCTTATAGAAGCTGTGGTAATTATTTTGCCTTTCAGTACATACAGAGGTGAAGTGGGGGATGGGGATTTGTTCAATTTGAATTGCAAGCATGCAGGTTAAATAGCTACGCTTGGCAGGATTTGATTTTAAATTAAGTTACCAATAAAGGTCAGTGTCACCTCACATAGAAATCAACCCAAAAAAACCATCAATAGCAGTCAGCAAGTACAGCCTACCCCACACCTAGCGCCTGTAGGGATCTTGTGTCACTGGCCCAATGGGCACACAGGGAGCCTTCTGCATCTCCACTGTCACAGTCCCCACTCACTCCCTGGTGAGGAGTGCAAGGGCTGTCCCCGGCAAGGAGTCATTCAGCAGCAGAGTGACCTTCCCCATAGCTGGGGATTCTTTCTCCTCCTCGCAGCCCAGGCCAGGAGTCTCTGCTTCTCTGGGTCAGGACCACAGCCTCACCTGTACATTGTTGCTGGGTGTTCGGGCTCCTTGACCAAGCAGGGGCAGCTCCTTGTAATTCTGCTGTCAGCGTTGCCCTAACCTCAACGCTAATCCTAACCCCTTCTTAATTTCCTACAACTGTGAAAATTAAAATGGTTAAGAATAAAAATAAATGTTTGAAAAAAAAATTAATATTAACGGTCAAAATTACAAAAAAAAAATTTAAAATCAAATTCTGCCAAGTTATAAATAGCCCAGGAAATGCCGTTTTATGGACCATTGAGAGAATATTCCCCGGGTTGGATTTTATACGGTCTTGTTTTTTGTTTTTTTTCAGTGTTGAAATTCAGCACTCTCTTGCCAGTGCCTCTTGACAATGGGACAGTTTAAGAATATATATGGTCAGCTATCTAATACTATAGTGGGATAAACTATGCCCTGGTTTCCCAACATATTGGGGAGGTGGGGATGCGAAGGACTAGTGGAGTGCTCGCAGATGGCCCTTGGCTGCTCTGTGGAGTCAGCTTCAATTTAAATGAAAGAAAAGCATGTCTTTAGCCTTTATGCTTGCAAAGACAACTTTCAAAATGTGATCTGAGTGTAAATGGTACAATGGCTGTCTGAGTTTACATGGAGCCTGAAATAATAGCTCTGAGATCTCCATTGTGATATTTTAAATGGGTTAAACTGCTCATCAAAGAAGAGGAAATATATTATGAAGACCTACATTAGAGTTTCCCAAGGTATGTGGCATGTGGGTGGGGAGGTGCAAGCAAAGGACTATCTGAGGTGGGGTGCAACAGACATAAAAATTAAGATGGCAGGTTTGCAAGGGGAAGTGTGATTGGTTTCCTTTTCCTAAATGGAAGCTCCGCTTTCAAAAGTTTGGGACAGTGGTTTGTGCTATAGCCTGTTTCTAGGGTGATCATGTCAAATCTAACCCGCTAAATAGGCTGAGGTCAAGCCTACTTGGATAGGTCATCTCCAGTGAAAACTTGGGGCTCTGCAAGAAGTGGTTGTGTTGATTCAATAAAGTCCTTTCCCTCTGAATACTGCATCAATGCCCTAACAGGCTGCACTGGAATACTGTGCAACTGGAAGTGGTGTATTTTGGAAGAGCTATAAAACCAAGATCCTAACATTTCATAGCTACAGAAGATGCCATGGGTAATTTTTAATAAGAGAAGGAGTATTGGTGCCCCGGTTGAATTCCCAATTAACTACATTCCATCCACCTAAAGTTGCTCTTGGATTTTTTGAGCATGAGTTTGTTCCCCACGTCCTGCCAAAAGCTGAGCTGTTAACACCTGTTGCGTTCCACCCAATAGGCAGGTGTGAATTAAGCT